TTGAGTATCCTTCACTGGAATCAGGTTTTGTTGGCACGGTTGATCTTTTTCTTTTTTGTTTCTTCGCCTGTCCTGTTGGTCTTTTGCCATCAGAATTATTGTCTAAAGGCAAAGAAAGATGCCCAACGGATTTACTTTACCAAATGGACCATCCCGGCCTTGCCGTATTGGTCTATTTGATTCATCTTTGCTTTCATTGTTTATTTTATTTTATTTTTGCTTGCTACACACGGGACAGACATGACTGGGGGAAAGAAAAGGGAGAAAGAAAGAGGGAAAGAAAAACAGCAGGGAAGAGGAACGGTGATAAAGGGGAAAAAAAACAAAAAAAACAAAAAACAAACAAAACAAACAGACAAAAAATACATATATAAATCACCTGGATCACCTGTTGAGAAAGAAAAAAGAGAAAACAAGCAAAAAAACAACAACAGAGCAATATAATAAACACATCATCGCGATGATCTATGTGAATATAACAGTAAATACTAAATATTGAATATTATTGTGCTACCTAACCCTAACCCTGCACATTTCTCAGCACTCACCCAACGTGGAGACAGACATAAATAGACACTGTACACACAATCACACTCCCCAAGCGTACTCTAGGTCTAGGTACCCTTGCCCTGGAGGGGAACCTGCACCCAGACCCAGATAGTGTTACCCTCTTCCCTGGGTGGAGAGAAAAGACCGCCCCGACTCCGCAGCAGCAGGGAGGCCCACATTCCAGACCCCAATTGGACGGCCAACTCCTCCTCCCAGCCCCCACGCCCCAACAGGCAACAGAGAACGGGGGTGTGTGAAGACTCCAAACCTCCTCCGCCTGCTCATATGTAGTGTTGATGCATGTGTGTTCTAAGGTGCATTTAAAACCCAGGAGAGCATGGAGCTACCTGCCAGAGAGCAGCAGGTAAGTGCATCGCCCCTCCTGATAGCCCTCAATGTATATGTGTATTTAAAATTGAGAGGTGGCAACGGCGCCAGGGGTGAGGTTGTACACTCTAATGGTCTTCTGGATGCTGTGTAGCGTGCCCACCCCCAAGGTCCTATATGTATGTGCTATGAGAGTGTGAGTAATGTGAATGTCTAAATTGTGGGATGAAATTGAGGCACAGGCAGCCAGAAGGGGACAAAGGGGGGGATGCCTCCCCTGAACCCTGGTGGCACACCTGCACCCCAGGGCCTTGCCTGTTCAGTAGTGCCGCCTGGCCCCACAGAGCCCGGACAGCCCACCCGACCCCACCACAGAGAAACTGCACCCACCCCGTCATCCACTCATCTTCCAGACTACACAAGACAATAGACACCCAGGCTGAGTTCTCCGCCTCCCCTATATCTCCCCCACCTGCAGAGTGATTTCCTGGAGAGAGGATTCTGTTCAATTCAATTTTATTCATATAGCGCCAAATCACAACAAAAGTCGCCTCAAGGTGGTTCATAGATACAGAGAAAAACCCAACAATCATATGACCCCCTATGAGCAAGCACTTTGGCGACAGAGGGAAGGAAAAACTCCCTTTTAACAGGAAGAAACCTCCGGCAGAACCAGGCTCAGGGAGGGGCGGCCATCTGCTGCGACTGGTTGGGGTGAGAGAAGGAAGACAGGATAAAAGACATGCTGTGGAAGAGAGACAGAGGTTAATAACAGATATGATTCAATGCAGAGAGGTCTATTAACACATAGTGAGTGAGAAAGGTGACTGGAAAGGCAAAACTCAATGCATCATGGGAATCCCCCGGCAGCCTACGTCTATTGCAGCATAACTAAGGGAGGATTCAGGGTCACCTGGTCCAGCCCTAACTATATGCTTTAGCAAAAAGGAAAGTTTTAAGCCTAATCATGAAAGTAGAGATAGTGTCTGTCTCCCGAATCCAAACTGGAAGCTGGTTCCACAGAAGAGGGGCCTGAAAACTGAAGGCTCTGCCTCCCATTCTACGTTTAAATACTCTAGGAACAACAAGTAGGCCTGCAGAGCGAGAGCGAAGTGCTCTAATGGGGTGATATGGTACTACAAGGTCATTAAGATAAGATGGGGCCTGATTATTTAAGACCTTGTATGTGAGGAGCAGGATTTTGAATTCAATTCTGGATTTAACAGGAAGCCGATGAAGGGAAGCCAAAACAGGAGAAATCTGCTCTCTCTTTCTAGTCCCTGTCAGGACTCTTGCTGCAGCATTTTGGATTAGCTGAAGGCTTTTCAGCAAGTTTTTTTGGACATCCTGATAATAATGAATTACAGTAGTCCAGCCTGGAAGTAATAAGTGCATGAACTAGTTTTTCAGCGTCACTTGGTCTTTCGTTAATTAATAGGCTGGTGTGAAAAATTGCTGCCACACCGCCCCCTCAGCCTGTGCTTCGAGATTTCTGGTAGTTAGAATGACTCAGGGGAGACCTCCTGCAAGATGTAACAGCCTCCCCCACCAGTTGAAGAGCCCCCCAGGTGGCTCAACCAGGACCCTAGCCCCGAGACGGAGCACCCCCAGGGGTTTTAAGAGTAAGAAATTGTACCACTCTTGATGGTGTTTGTAGTTCAACTTGACCCGGTTTAAATTTCTTTTTTACTATGGATTTAATTTGTTGATATTCTAAAAATCTTTTCTTGTTGATCCCATATTGTGTAACTAGTCTGTCAAATGGAATAAATTCTGTTCTTTCTAATATATGTTCCAAGTATTTGATTCCTTTACAACTCCAATCTGGAAAGTTTATCATATTATTGTTTTGTAATATGTCAGGGTTGTTCCAGATAGGTGTACGTTTGCATGGGATTAATGAAGACGCCGTCAATTTTTGGCACGGTTGACCTAAAAAAAGTAGTCAGACAGGATGCTGTATGTATGATGCAAAAAAAAGACTTGAAGAAAAGTTGCAGAGGTTCACGTTGCTTACATTCAATACAAGCTCTACTTGCACAACAGTGTGGTCACGATTGGACATTTACGTGGAAGCAAACTAAAATACTTATATAGAACCAAAACACAACCAACCACAACAAAGGTGCTTTTTTACTGTAAGATAAAGCCCCCCCAAAAAATACAGAGAAAGGTTCAAGCTTCTTAAATGTTTTAGGAGTAGTCTCAGCAACAGCTAAGTGATTACATATTTTGAAGGTGCATTATCCTTTAACTCTGTTTTTCTGAAAAATAAATTATATCTTGACGAGTCGACAGCTGTATTGGGAAGGATGTTGCGAATAAATCACAAAAGTGGCGTTAATGCTTTTGTGGAATGACAATGCAATGTGATATCAGGTCCACGAAAGCAGGAAAAAAACATGCAAACAAAAGAAATCAAATAAAAAGCGAAAAACACTTCAGTAGATATCTGATAAACAAAAGAAGTTACTAAAGAGTAAAATAATAGAATAACACTCAAATAGATTGATATTGGGATTTCTTTTCACATTTTTTAACTATCCATTCATCCATTCTCTTCCGTTTATCCTTTTCAGGGTTGCGGGAGCACTGGAGCCTATCCCAGCTGTTTTAAGGCAAGAGGCAGGGTACACCCCGAACAGGTCGCCAGTCTGTCACAGGGATAACAAACAGACACAGAAAACCATTCGCACTCACATTCACACCTACGGGCAGTTTAGGGTTTCCAGTTAGGGTTTTCCCCACTAACTGCATGTCTTTGTTCCATGCAAACACCGGGAGAACATGCAAACTCCACACGAAAAGACCCCGGCCTGATGGTGGAATTAAAATCAGGACCTTGGTGCTGTGAGGCAACAGTGCTAACCACCGTGCTGCCACATTTTTAACTAATCTTATGAAATAGCATGAACTGTGATGCACATACAGTTGTGATATGTTTGAAGTTAAATTTAAATCTGCAACTTAGTAGTCTCTATTGCCCTCTTCTGCCCAAGTAACTTCATTACAAAGATGGTTATTTGTTAGGCTGTTAAGGCTGTAAAAAAGCCAGTGAGTGAAACAGGTGTTAATCTTGACTTTAAAATAATAATCATTTGTAGATAGAGTCTTACAAGCGTAAATGTCAAATTTCTGGCACAACTTCACCTACTTCCAAGGTGCATGGAGAGGATGATAAACTCACAACGCAGGGACTACAGCAAAACTTAAAATGAAAGGGGAACAACTTTATTGACTAACCAACGCGTTTGGCTTGTGGCCTTCATCAGGGTCCATCAAGGCCACAAGCCAAACGCGTTGGTTAGTCAATGAAAACTCTATCAGTGCCATCAGTAATAGCAGCTGAAAACTAAGAAGCAGCTTTTCGTTGTTTTCAAAACCCCTTTTCAGGGTCAAAGGTTTGTTATTGTCTCAAGTGAGAAACCGCATATGCCTTACTATTCTTAAATGACTGAAAGTTATCTTTATCCTACACTAACGTTGCTTAAGGGCAAGTATTTTTGTGTTTTTGTTACTCATTGGGGTTCTAGGTCATCTAACAGGAGGAAGTAAGATTCAGTGACTGACGATAAACAGAGCAACACTGGACAATGCTTAACAAGGAGCAACAATAGTACAGGGAAGGTAGTAAAATACAGGTTACAAATTAAAGCACAAGTAAAACACATTGACTGAAGCGGCTCAGTCAATGTGTTTTATGATAGTTGTGTTAAAAGTTTGTGTTATTGTGAAATTTAAGCATTCAAGGTAAAGGTTAGCTGAAAGGGGTAACAAGAACTCATACTTTCCATACACTGAAAAATTTCTGACACTTGTCTGTTTGATCATTTTGATGCTGAAGGATTTCTTTTTTCCTTCTAATGTTTTCAGCACAGCGAATAAAGTATCCGTTCTGGGCACTTGTGATTGCTTATGCTTATAACTAATCCAAATTCTATTAAAATTGCACTAGAGAAAATACCTTGAACAAACACAAGCATGCATGCATGCACTCTCAAACATTCAGTAACACTCTGACAACTTCCTGGATGCTGGTCATCCAGGTCACACACTACGTCACACCTACCCCACCTGAAACGTGATATTATTGTATAAAAGCTCAGTGTCCCTGAACTCAGGAACAGGTTACAAGGAGAAGTTTCAACGAAACTTAGCACAAAAGTACATTATACTCTGATTTTTGTGCAATAGAACAATTTCTGTAACATCTCTGGTGCATCTCTGCCTCCTTGGTTCTTTCCATTATGGATTTATTGTGTCTGGGTTTTTTTACACTGGTTTTGCTGGCACAGGTAATTACCTATTTTTAAAGTTTTTAAAAAAATGTTTTATTGAGTTTTATAATGATAAAAAGTCAATAAAAGTCAAAGTCAATAATTTAGGTGAAACATTGCAGAAAATGTGTGAATACAAAATGTTTCACAACATGAGTGTATCGAGCTGACATGTCTAAAAGGATTAAAGTATTTAGAGGAGTTTTTATGTAAAAGTTCTTGCCAAACATTGTTAGGAGGATATCTAAAGGTGAAGAAGTTTTTAAAATAGAATTACATTTGTTTAATCATTATAGATTAATATTGGTCATCTTTTCCTGCCACTAGTAAATACTCAAGAAATTTCTGTTTGTGGTAACTGTAGCAGACACTTTGGAGGAATGATTAACTTCATTCGGAGAAAGAAACCGTTAATTTCTGATCTAATGTATTAATTCCTTACTGGAAAGAAATAATAGGTCAAGGAGAGTTTAGGTCATCCAAATACCATAGAATACGATTAACAGACTAAATAATGGGTTATGATGACAGCATAGGCACAGAAATTTTGCTGTTGTGCTTTTAGTCATTACATTTGTTGAAATGATATTCTATTTTATTCCTTCTGAGACTCCAAGAATCACTACTGTTGATCTAGGCAATACAACTGAGACTGCCACCCTGGACAACACAACTACAGCTGCCACCCTGGACAACATAACTAAAGCTGCTACCCTGGACAACACAACTACAGCTGCCACCCTGGACAACATAACTACAGCTGCTACCCTGGACAACATAACTACAGCTGCCACCCTGGACAACATAACTACAGCTGCTACCCTGGACAACATAATTACAGCTGCCACCCTGGACAACACAACTACAGCTGCCACCCTGGACAACATAACTAAAGCTGCTACCCTGGACAACACAACTACAGCTGTCACCCTGGACAACATAATTACAGCTGCCACCCTGGACAACACAACTACAGCTGCCACCCTGGACAACATAACTACAGCTGCTACCCTGGACAACATAACTACAGCTGCCACCCTGGACAATACAACTACAGCTGCCACCCTGGACAACATAACTACAGCTGCCACCCTGGACAACACAACTACAGCTACCACACAGGCTGCCACCGCCACCACTACAGCTACCACGCAGGCTGCCACCACCACTACTGCTACAACTACCAAACAGGCTGCCACCACCACCACTACAGCTACCACACAGGCTGCCACCACCACTACTTCTACAACTACCAAACAGGCTGCCACCACCACCACTACAGCTACCACACTTCCTATACAGGCTGCCACTGCCAATACCACTGGCACTCCAAACACCAACAGTACAGCTACTATCCCAGCCAACGCCACTACAGCTGCCACACAGGACAACATTACAACTCTAACCCAAAGCATCACAACAACAGTGACTACCACCACTGCAAATGGAGGATCGGAGGTGAAAGCTTCTGTGCTTTGTCTTGTTTTTCCACTCTTGCTCTACATGCCTTGTGTTTAATTGTCTGTGAAGCTTGCATACATTAATTGTAGATGCACTCTAATCACGGAAACAAAGGACAACATCTAAGGTAAATCCTGACCCCTTTTTGTTTTGTACACAAAATATATGTAGACTTATCCTAATCTTATGTGCTCTGCATTGTATTTCTTAAATATACAGGGGAACAGAACCATGCAGTAGAATAGAGCTAAACTGACAGTGCAACAAAAAACAAAACAAAGTGATTGTGATTTAAGAAAGAAAAAATATAATAGGTAACACAATTCAGAGCAAATGAAAGTGATAAAAGGCTTTATTACACACACCATATTTTGATCATGTTATATATATATATATATGTAATTAAAATGAACAAAAACCTGTTCTCCTTACATTTGATTGCACCTATAAGTACAAGTCAATAAGTAATATTTAAAATGGGTATACCTAAAGTAAGTGATTCAATGCAATATGAAGATTAGCATAAAACAGAGCTTATTTTTGTACTAGCAACGGGAAGGAAGTTACTAAATCAGTGAGTAGCAGATGCAGCTAAAACTTGTAGGCTTTATTTAATCTTCAGATCGACATATAGCAAGCAGTGCCTTTAGATAGTCTCCTTTAAAGTGGTTCTGTTGGAAAAACAGGAAATAGCAAGAAAATACAAATATTTATGCAAATATTTGAAATAGAAATATCGATATATTTACTATATAATAAATATTTATATTTAGAACAATTTTATCTGTGTGACAAACCTGCAGTGTAGTGTAGAGGGAAGTGCCTGTTAATTTAATGAAAGCAGCTCGGATACAGAGTAGATCTTCCTCACTGTGAGACACCATAATCCGCTGCACTATTTCTTTCTGTAAGAGTGAAATGAATATTGGTAACCAGTGCGTCAACAGTCTCTCCAGATGTATAGTCTGTCATTTTGACCCATCTGTACAGAGGAAGTTTGTTTTTTCATGTGCACTCATCAAAATTAAACCACTACACTACAAATAAACATGGTCTCTGCCTCTTCTAATAAACTTTATAAAATTACAGTGATTATGAGTTTCTTAAGCAACAGAAAATAATAGAAATAGCCCCAAAATTATTAAAAAATATATACATATAAAAAAACAGTAAAGAAATAAATAAAATCCTACATATTAAAATGGCTGCGGTCGATTTTAGGGATCCCATGTTGGTTTGGGTATTTCCTAGCGGTGACAGAAGTTACAGTGTTTTCACTCTCTGACATTATCTTTGAACTTGTTTAATATCTGTGAACGACGGCCACATTTTGCAGAGTCACAAAAGTGCATTTGTGGACAAGGACTTCCTATATACCAAGCCAGTGCCAGTGCGGCATAGTAAAGTACTAAAAGTACCAGTAGGGTGAAATAATTTATGCAAATATGACTGTGGGCAGACTGCGTTTGCAAATATTTGGTTATATTAAGTTCAAATATATTCAATAGTGATCACAGGATATGGCATTCATAATAGAAACTTTCCTTTCCTTATACTGACCATCATATCAACTGATTTTTCTATTATGAGCAGTGTTGGAAGGTTACTTTTAAAATGTATTCCACTACAGATTACAGATTACATGCCCCAAAATGTACAGGGAGTGCAGAATTATTAGGCAAATGAGTATTTTGTCCACATCATCCTCTTCATGCATGTTGTCTTACTCCAAGCTGTATAGGCTCGAAAGCCTACTACCAATTAAGCATATTAGGTGATGTGCATCTCTGTAATGAGAAGGGGTGTGGTCTAATGACATCAACACCCTATATCAGGTGTGCATAATTATTAGGCAACGTCCTTTCCTTTGGCAAAATGGGTCAAAAGAAGGACTTGACAGGCTCAGAAAAGTCAAAAATAGTGAGATATCTTGCACGCAATGTTGATGGTGAACAGATCAAAACACTGACAGAATCCATGGATGGCAGGCTTTTGAGTGTCCTTGCAAAGAAAGGTGGCTATATTGGTCGCTGATTTGTTTTTGTTTTGTTTTTGAATGTCAGAAATGTATATTTGTGAATGTGGAGATGTTATATTGGTGTCACTGGTAAAAATAAATAATTGAAATGGGTATATATTTGTTTTTTGTTAAGTTGCCTAATAATTATGCACAGTAATAGTCACCTGCACACACAGATATCCCCCTAAAATAGCTGAAACTAAAAGCAAACTAAAAACTACTTCCAAAAACATTCAGCTTTGATATTAATGTTTTTTGGGTTCATTGAGAACATGGTTGTTGTTCAATGATAAAATTATTCCTCAAAAATACAACTTGCCTAATAATTCTGCACTCCCTGTATTTTGTAACGTATTCCGTTACTCAATAAGTGTAATGTATTCAGAATACTTTGGATTACTTAATATATTATCATGCTTTTTACAACTACATGAATGTACTATTGCTGTGTGATGTATTACTATTACTGAAGGCCACTCGCCATACCAAAACCAACTAGATTTTTAAATTTTAAAATGAGTAACAGTTAGGTATGGCTGCACTATTTGCAGCAATCTCGTATAGAAAACTATTCCACTCGTATATAAAACAGGTCCGCGGCTCGAACCATAGTAAAGGGACCTCTGGCTAATACGTCGGATTCAGTGTCGGGCTTGTAGCCGAAAACTAGCTTTACTTTGTTGTCTGGGTCAACTTTGCTAGCGAGAGAGAGAGAGAGGCGTTCAAACGCTGCTTCAACAGAACTTCGGAGAAAAACACGAACATAGTGTACAGTCAAGTCTTAATGGCTTACTTACAACTGGACTACATTGCCCATGAGGCTACATTCTTTAGGGCTATGCCTGTAACACTCTGCCTATTGCCTTCATATTAAATAAGTTTTTGAATAATAATTAAAAAAAAATATTTCTTCACGTCATTTTGTGGGCCGCAAGTAGAGGTGACATGGGCCGCGAGACTGAGACACGGGCATTAGAGCCTCTTAATGCGTGTTTTGTTTGGGTTTCCACCAGCGTGGAATTACCAAAAATAGTGAGGGAATAGCCTAACATATGAAATAGGAAAAGACCTCTGTGTAATCACTTTATTTCAACAAAGACAGTATTCTCAATACCACCCTTTTAAACGATAACTGTAATGGAATACAGTTAGTCATATTTTGTATTTTAAATATGTAACGGCGGTACATGTATTTCGTTACTCCCCACCAGTGTTGGTCAAGTTACTTGAAAAAAGTAATCAGTAACTAATTACTGATTACTTCCCCAAAAAAGTAATCCCGTTACTTTACTGATTACTTATTTTCAAAAGTAATTAATTACTTAGTTACTTAGTTACTTAGTTACTTTTTAAAAACACGATTTACAACCTGAAGAGGTGATAAAGCGATAGATCTTTCAGCCCAATTCTACTTTTTCTACATAATCCATCATACAAAATGTAATCAAATGGAAAAGTCTCTTTTTTTTAACTTGTTTTATCAGTTTTAATCTTTTAACTTTATGCATCAAGCAAAAATTTAATTATATGCAACATTCTCTGAGTTGAATAAATGAGTTTAACATTTAAACCTATTTTCTGCACATTCCAGCACATAAAATAAAATAATTTTTTGTGTTTACACTCACTCTTTCAAATAGATGCAAGTAAAACACAGCAGAACATAAATAAAGTCAAAGACTCAGCGGTCCTGTTGCTCTATTTTCACCTGTAAAGCAGGACTGCAGTAGGCGGAGGTTTACCCTGGTGCAGGTGTGCAGCGGTCAGTGGAAGGATACGGCAGTGTCTCTGTGAGTTTCCCATTACCTCGTTGCGCTCTTGGTGCTTCCTTGGAAGTTTAGGGGTTTTTTTCGCTGTAAAAAGAAGTTTTCTTCCCACGCACGATGGACGCTAATGTTTTTGTCACTTTTTATGGAATCAAACTCAAAGTAAGGTCAGTGCTTCCACACTTTAAACGCTGCATGCTCATACTCTCTCCCGCACTCGATATGTGATCCATTGTTGATCTGCACACAGCTGTTGTCACTAACGGCGCACTCGCTTACGTCACTGTCGTGAGACATTCTGGCAAAAAATCACGGTTTTAGTAACGCAGTAACGCAGCGTTCCTACGGGAAAGTAACGGTAATCTAATTACCGATTTTGCAATAGTAATCCCTTACTTTACTCGTTACTCGAAAAAAGTAATCAGATTACAGTAACGCGTTACAAGTAACGCGTTACTGCCCATCTCTGCTCCCCACTGATTATGAGCACATCTTTAAAGAAAAATCGTCACACCTCGCAACAGGTGAGGACCTCGTCAGTAGCTATTTGGACCCAGACAATACCTAGGAACTACATACCTTCCCCTTTCTCTTTTATTTCTACTGCTAATAGGAACTCTGAAGAGATTTAACAACCAGACACAAGTTGGTAAGTTGGTAATAACCTCTCGTAGTTCTTCAGTTTCTTTTATTTCTGTGTTTTTTTCAAATTTTTTTTATTGTGAGGTTAAGAAGAAGTATGGCTGAAGTTAGTTGAAAAGAATTGCTAGCAAATATTTTCATATTTAGACAAAGTCTAAATATGAAAGATTCAATAAAGTCTGGATTTTTTAAAGTTGTGTTTTATTTCAATTTCAATCATATCTATAATCAAATCTTGTATTGGACACAAAAATAAATATTAAACTGCTAAAGTAAATATGCAAATTAAATAGATGGATATATATATATATATATATATATATATCCATCACCACATCCATAGCTGGACTCAATCATTTGATAAACCTATCAGACAGTATGTCATTTGTTCTGTGTGATATAACCCCCACATGTCCTTATGGCCAACTGTTACATATTATGTAGTTCTTCCATCAGTGCCTTCTGGTATTTGAATTTTGGCCGAATCCCTCTTTGAGTAGTTTTGAAATCTTCTCCCAAAACTTCTATCATAGATAAATTACCACAAAATCGTCTCACCTTCATGGTCTTAAGTCTCGTGGCAAGGTAGGCATCACGGTTTTGAATGCACTGTACTGTGATAAGACAAATATTAGGATAATGTTGGGTCTCCACCTAATAATGGTATGAAGTGCACAATAAATGTTCAAACAGTATGTCAAACTGTGTTTACCCAAAACTTTCAGACCCAAGCGAAAGTCTCCTGAAAACCTTTTCTCTATGATCTGATCCACCGTCTGCCCAAGCTCCAGCTCCAGTCCCATCAACACTGTTAATCAT